TTACCAATTTCCTCTTTAAGTTGTATATTATAGTTAATACGATGTAATTACTAAGATTGCTGATAAGTAGCATGACACTTTCTTTGAATCAAAAGTTTCTAATAGTATAGTTCCATCCATAACACACTTATTTATTTATATTACAATGTTCTACAAAGGATTATGTGCAAAGGGTGTAATTTTCGCAAACTTCGTTATTCAAAGGGCAATTATATTTTACAAACGCATACGTGTCTTCTTAGAAGTAGTTTTTAAATTCCTCCTTAGGGAATTAACTATTTATATTCTAAAAGGAAATAATTATATGCTATAGCTAAGACTCTACCGATTCTTATGACATTGATGCTTTAGTAACAGGGATGAAGGTGATGCACGGACCGTACTTGAGTTTCAATCATAAAATTTTATGCATCACTGGTCTGTGGCCTTCTCTTACTTACACACAAAAATGGATTAGAGCTTACATCATTATAATTTTACTTATATCATTACTAATACCAATGGTAAGAAAAAAGAAATAAAAATTAATATTTAAATTAATTATTATCACAGTGTACTGTGATATTTGTTAACATATGCTAAATAACACATTTAAATGTCAAATATTTATAAAAAGTGTAAACATTGAGCCCAATAAAAACAGATTTAAAACAAAAATATTTACAAAGAAAAAATTGGAATTGTTGGTTAGAAAGAATAATACGAATCATGTGTCAGTGAGCCTCTTTAAACCGTTTGTAGGTTGTTCAAAATAAGACAGAGAATTTTTCTATTGAACTAATCAGATTTAAATATTTTCAGTTCTCTAATGTTCATATAGTATTATTCTTTATTAAATACAGAGTTATATTTTTATAAACCGATTGTTTATTAATAAATAATCAATTCACTGCACTGCTAAAACATTGAATTTTATAAATAAATAAATTCGCATTGATTATTGTATGCTTTTTCATTCTTGATTGAATATTTGCAAACATAATTATGTATGTTCAAATGACTTTTCTATTTTCACCCTAAAATTCTACATGCGCATTTAATGCCAATCATTATCAAATATTTAAAACTATCATGAGGTCTCGAACGCAAGACGTTTTAATAAAGTGATTATAAAATAGGATTTTTTAAATTTAGGAAGAGTGTGTTTTAAGGGATAAAAATTATCCAACTAAGTGCATAGTATAATTTAATATAATTTTAATTTTCAGAGTTTGGGCTTCATTGAAGCGTTAAAAATTGGAGATCTTAATGTTGTCGCTGAGAGTTTCTCACCACTTCTTGTATCGGGAGTGGCATTGGTCATACACATTAATTTTATGATTAAAAACCGACAGGTACTTTTGTATCTTTTAAAAATAAATAATTAAAAATTCTCTTAGAAATAATTAACTACTTTAATAGCCTAATCACAACAACTTATCGCATTATTTATGAAATTTTTTTTAACAATTTAAAATCTTTGAAGATAAAACATAAAAGTAATTTCGAACATAACCTTAATTTAAAAACATGTAAACAATGTAAGTCGTAGTGCCATCCGCCATCCAGCAGACAATACAAATTTATTGACAAAGACAAAAAAATATTTTTTCTCTAATTTTTAATATTTCTGTTATCGGCAAATCACCTGATTTGTAGTAAGGACTGAGCCTTACAGAATCCAGAAAGATAGAATATTTTATTTCAACTTTTAAGTAGTTTTATCCCCATCCGCCATCCAGCAGACAATAAAAATTCTTTGAAAAAGCCAAAAACATGTTATTTTCTCTAATTTTTAATATTTCTGGCATCGTCAGAAAACCTGATTTGTAGTAAGGACAGAGCCTCACAGGATCCTGAAGGATAGAATATTTTATTTCAACTTTTAATTAGTTTATATCGCCGACATCTTTGACTTTTAGATATCACATGGGTTGAAATCCATTTTTTGAGGATTATTTTAAAAATATATTATATACATACATTTTTTTAAATATTCGGAATAATTGTTAAAAAAAAGGAGTAGCGAGAAAACATACCCAGCGGGCACACTTGTTCAAAAGACGTCTTATAAATCCACGAGATTACATCTATTACCCTCACTCAAGGATAGTGATATTCCTTAATACAATTGTTTTCTCAGTAAAAGAAAAATTAAATGGAAAGTAAGCCATATTAAATTTTTGAATTAGAAACTTTCTATATGAACTTTGTCAAAGAATTATCATATGTTAAATATTTTTTTGTGAGTTTGAATGATATTTGATAGATGTCACTTGATCTGCAATAACGATAACTTTTCTTAATTGATGATTCTAAAAACTTTCATTCACTAACCATTTTTGTTATAACAATTAAAACATATTAATTACAGTTAACCGACAGATTAGCTCAGTCGGATAGATGCCTTGCTTGGCGGTCGTTTAAGGATCAAGGGTTAGTACCCTTGGTTCGCGCCCATTTGGCTTGGTATTTTTGCGGCACGTGAGACAATCTGAGCGGGAGGTTTGACGTCGAGGTATAATGATGTGAACCGTCGATTATTGTCCGGTACACACCATTAGAACTAGACTGTCGATAAACCGGTTGTACTCAGGAGAGGTTTTCTACAGTTTCCCTCTCCACTGGCGAGAAAACCCATTAGACGGGTGGTCTAGGCAAATGCGAGTACTCCTAATATTGAAGTCGCTCTGTAGGCGCAAAATTAGTATAAGGTCGTATAATATATAAGAATTTTGTAAAGTGAAACACTTGTATAGCCAAGTATGTAAGGCTGAAGACAGATGTATAAACCAATAAATAATTATTAATTACAGTTATCAGTATTATTAGAAAAAATACAAAGAGACTGGGAAATATGGTCAACAGAGCCAGAGATTAAAATTTTACAACGATATGCAGCTAAGGATAAAAGATTTCGATATACATATGGTGGTAAGTATATTTAATACTATCTCTAGCGCAGATTGGTTTGGTTAAAGGTGCATTTATACATTTGTTGGTAGAAAAGAATTCTCCGAAAAATGGCAAAATTGATTTCCCAGTTTGTTGTAAAAGTTTTTCTACAGTAGCTTGCAAAAGCATTTATTTTATCTGCCTCAAAGTAAATGCATTTTCTGATATAAGTTTACGTTAAATCAGAAAATTCAAGTATCGTAAAGAGTATCCACAGTTAATAAGGTTAAATGACCCTTTTAGGATTCTTTATTTAGCAGCGTAAATTGTCAGTAACAAATATTGTCAGTACTTTTGTACGAAATAATTCGTTTATACCAGTCTAAGATTAAAATAAATAATTATGATTTTTATTCTAGCGTTAATAATTGGAGCTGCTTCTGGTTTCATGGCTATTCCAATAGCGGAAAATTTTTTGAATTGGACAAATTTAATAAATAAAACAAGTTCACACACTACAGTTTTTTTTACTGACTATGGAGTGAAAGAGGGATTTCTTTACCATTTAACCACATTTCACAGTATTATTTTAACATACTTGTGTATGTTAATTATCATCAATGCAGATACGGTATTTATGATTTGCAATCAGCATGCTAGCAGTATTTATGCAGCTATTGGGTATGATAAATAATTTATGTACAAGTTTAAATCTCACTTTCCAAAACTTTTTAATTAACAAATTGATCAATCGCTTGAGGCAGCGTCAGATGCAATGAATGTTTAAAAAAGTAGCACAAAATTTTACCTCAATGTAGGATTGATTAATACTCGGTAGTATTAATAATAAAAAAATTCTTGAATTAAATCATCACTCCTTGTAAATGTAACGCAATGAGACATTACTCTTTAAGTATCAACAACAAAGCTGACTTCTTCAGAAACTATAATAAAGTTTTGAAAATAATATAACAATTTATTTTTTATAACAATAAATAAAATACCTTTAACGAATAAATTACAAAAAAATCACGAAATTTGGAATTTTATTCCAAAGGATAAAGTTATGGTGGTAGTAAATAAAAGACAAATTCAAAGAAATGTCAAGGTTAGCCTAGGCTAACGGGCGCGAACCAAGTACCCTTGGCCTACCACGTCCGCCAAACCAAAGAATTATCCAACTGAGCTAATCCGTAGGTTTATCGTTTGCTTTATTTTTCCTAGATTATTTTCAAACGGGAACGCAGAAATGGAAGATAAGTCCATTTTCATGTGCTCCACACCATCAGCACTATTCATGAGATTATGATGATTCATCACTTGCGAATCTAATCCATAAAACGTTGGAAGAAGATTAGAAAAACTAATGAGTAACATTCGTGCATAATTAACATTATCCAGAGCAAAGTTAGGGTCGCAAAGAATTCTTCAAGAAACTGACAAAAGAAGAAAGTGACAAAACATATTCTTTGAAAGAACTTCGTGCAATACTATAGGGCCAACGTAATTTAAAAAAATCGAAATTGTCTCGCTTTCCAATAATTAAATTTATCAGGATTCATTGTTTTTCTTTGAAATTCGTCAAGTACATATTTAATGAGTTAATTTAAATGAAGTTTTAAATATTCTTTTTGATTTTTACTAAGCTTTACTTTTCGATCTACTTTCATTTCAAATCCAAGCGGTTGCTGAAGAATTCACTTCGCTATACCTTGGTACAATAAGTGCATTGAATCTAATAGAACTGACTTAACAGGATCAAAATCTAATATATTCAGCAAAGGAGATGTAAATTTTATTATAGTTTCTAAAGAGAACAGCTGTGCTGATGGAACATAAAAAATTAAGTCTTTTTGTCTTATAAATTTTAGGCCCTTTTTCTACTCTATAAGAAGTAAAGTAAATCATTTTCTGTGGGAAAACTTATTTTTAGGTGATCTGCTTTTAGAAATTCTGGCACATTTCATGAATTATATAATTTTAATTAATACAAATCTTTATTATAACATATTTTAATTATATTGCTTTCTCATAGATGAAAGATTGTGTTGGTGAAAATTTTCGATTGTGATTTTTTATAATATTTCCATGTAATTTGACCTCAGGAGTCCAAAAAGATGTTTTTGTCTGTGTGTGCGTATTTTTACATTACATTATCCTCAATACCTTAGTCCCACAAAAGTGACATTGTCATCATTTTTTTAAAATATTGTAAAAGTCTACACACGGTAGACAGGACAGAAGCCTGATTCATGAAGTTTAATATACTTTTCTGCATTTATTATTTTTTAAAAGAATGTTTTTTGCCCATAATTAAAAAAAATATTTTAAGACACTTTGTAGAGTTTTATCAGACACAAATTATTAGGTATTTATTATCACCTCTATGAAACGATCTTTCCAGATATTCTAACTGTTTTAGAAGGTAATTCCACCTTTCTTTAAATTATCAAATGTTCAAGAATTCTGATTGAAATGTGTGACTGATTCACTTGTATAATCTTTAAATATGTTTATTTTACCGCAGTTGTGAAATCCCATTGAAATATGCCTATTTTTAGGTATCAAATAACTTTAAATAAACTAATTTATTTGTAAAACCGGACTATCAGACTACAGTCTATTAATGTACAAGTATTTACAAAAAAAAAGAGAACCGTATCTGTTAAGTTGTTTTCAAGAAAATGGTACCTAAGTGTGGAAAAATGTGATTTTTCAGGAGAGCGGTAATTATTTTTTCAAAATGGCACAGAAAATTCAAAAATAAAAATTCGTCTTTATCGAACGATCAGATGTTAGTCCTTTGTATATAAAATCATCATTAGAAAAAAGTTTAATGAGAAATAATCTTTTGGAGCTCAGAAAATAGTACCTAAAATAGGCATATTTCAATGGGATTTTACAACTGCTCTTTCCCCCTTATAAACTTCATTTTTTTATTTAATGTATAGGAAAATAAAAAAAATGTCTTTTTACAACAACTAACTTGCAAAATGTTGCTTCTGTTCATGTCTAAATAATTACTTCTTATATATAAATAGGAACAAATTGTCAAACCTTGATTATAACAAAAGTTACTGGCCTTACAAAGAATATAGCATTCAATCAGAAATGGACGACATTATAATTTTTTGTGCTAAGCAACACAACGAAATATTAAGGTTAATAGATTTCTGCATTTTTCTCTCACAACATGTTTTTCTAAATAGCACTGTTTTTTAATAAACCTTTAGAATAACTTTTTAACATTTAGTATAATTTTTAATAATTTTGTATAATGATTTTTTCATGCTTAGGCATGATTAACAGTTCAGTATTTTTACTGTATAAACCGCCTTATGATATTTAAGATTTGAATTTCAAAAATTTGATTTAAATGTACACTTCAAATACATGTACAGAAAATCTATTAAAAAATAACCATAAATAGCAAGTTTCAAGCAAATTTAATTAATATTTTTAAAACTCAGGTATTTTTCAACTTTATTGGTTTGAAATGTCATAACATTATTAAATCAATCAAGAATGTCATTTTTTATGTAAATAAAACTTTTAATTTATTTTGTTTAGATTTTTAAGAGACGTTCACAAGTGTTTCTCGACTGTATATTTGATAGTAGTTGCGATTAATATGATAATTATAAGCATGTCAGGATTTGCAGTAAGTATTTGAGAACACACAATCTTGTATACCTACCCAAATAGCACAACCTTTGATCTCAATATTGGATAAATATTACAAGTCAATATTGCCTCACCATTCGTTATATCCTCTCTATATTGTTTCCCATTCGTTAATATATTCATTTATATATTGCATTATTAAAGAAAGTTTTTTTTTAATTTTTAAACAGACTGTTCTAAACTTAAAGCATCCGTCAGTTGCCTTCAGATTCATGGCTGCAAACTCTGGTCAAATGGTTCACATTCTTTGTCTTACTGCTCCTTGTGAACAAATGCGTGATCAAAGTAGCTTGATTACTCATTCAGTGTTAGCCTAATTAATTTATTTTACTACCAAAATTTATATAATCTTAATTTTAATATTATATAATAATTATAGGTATAAATCAAACTGGTACAGATTTCCAGTAAGTTCTCAAAGATTATTACTTATGATAATGAAAAGAAGTTCAGAACCCAGTGAATTTGTATGCGGCAAATTGTATTCATTTACCATGAGGAATTTTGCAATGGTAAGTAATAAAGAATTCTCGCCATAGTTTTGTTTGATGAGTTTATAAAATTCGACGACTTAAACTATGGTTAAGGTCATCCGGGAAAAAATAGTGGTTTCGTAGAATACACTTAATTCAAAAATAAACGCATATTTCGTCGGGTTGGGATTTTTTGGAAATAATAGAGGAAGGGACTCTGCAGGGGAGGCATCTCGGTATTTTGCATAATTATTATAAATAATTGTTAAAAAATTGTATAAACATTCGGTTTTTATCGAAAAAGGGATTTCATAGAATACACTATTCGTTGTTTGAATACCATATTTGGAGGTGAAATTTATTTGGAATGATAGAGGAGAGTATTCTGCAGTGGGGTGACTTTTTGAGAGGAACATTTCCCGGATGTCCTTAATACAGTTGTGGAACCGGCCCTGGCTGTAATAACTATAGTTAGGGTGCTCTCACAAGACATTTCGTTAAAGTGTGAGTGTGAGTGTATTTGATGTGTATTAAAATACACATCAAATGGGTTAAGAGTTTACAAGTTTTTAAATTTTAAGGTAATGAAAACGTCGGTATCGTACTTAACAGTACTCTGCTCATTTAAAGGATAAAATTTTAAGCTACACAAAAATATATAAAAGTTTGTTTATATTATTATATGGCTTAACAAGTTTTACTTCAAGTATCGGAACACATTAATGCAGGTAAGGCATTTTGAAATTTTAGTAAACAAAACCGAAAACAAACTTTCTCTCTGAAATATTAATAAAAATATCTTTCGAATGGAGTACATCGATATTTCCAATGTATTAAGATAAAAACGTTTAAAAGTTCTATAAAAAAATCATTACTGATTTCACTCTTTAATCATTTCTAAGGAAAAACATTTGAACTTATAGTTCTTTAAACTACGCGATCAGCAATATCTCTTTGATTCGGACCAGTCAATCACCAATGATGGAAGAGTTAACAGATTTTTTATAGGAATTTCTTCCCTTCTTCCTGACAGACACAAATACGAATTTACTTGGGACCCAAAGCAGTAGTTTCGGATTTCTTTAAATCTAAAACTGTTAACGAAAAATTAATCTTTAAAGATTCGAGGTATTGTCACTGGCCGCAGATTGCAAACATTTGGTGGGATAAAAATTGTAAATATATAAACGTATTTCAGTTACGATATTAAAATCCCTGATCGCATAAAAATTTCTAGACATAATAAAACAACAAAATTTAATTCTTCGTTTTTACGAAAACAAAAAGATTTGTCCCGCATCGGCTTTAAAGGTGTATTCAATAAAAACAAAGAGTTTAAGTGGTTCAACCCCATACAAAAAAAAATTCGGTACAGACACTAAGCAGGTGGATAAAAACTTACCTGAGTGATAGTGGTATCAACACATCGATTTTCCCGGATATAGGGAAAACTGTCTGCCGCCAGTCGACAAGGCGTGGACTTAGATCTTATTGTTAGAAAGACAGTTGATTATAAACGATAATTCGAACTTTGCGATTACTATCTTAAACATTTAAAGAACTTACATGTATTTGTATTTTTTGTTTCTCTCTACAATCAACAAAAAGATAAATTGTATCTTCGTTCACTTGAAAATAAAAATTTCAATTATTTTATTCCTATACTACTTTTCCTGATCTATAAGTTCTGTCAATATGCTTTCAACCATCTACATGTGATCTATTCAGAGGAGGCAGACGTTACCAATCAACAGTAAGTATAGGTTTTTTTTGCTACTCAACTTTCATTTAAGAATTTTTACTATTTGAGATTGTTCTCTAAGTTTCCTCTTTAAGTATTTCTTTTTTGCTATTCCTCTGCGACGTCCCCCACAAATACCGATAGTTTATTCACATAAATTTTTCTAATGTAAATAAGGTTAGGTTGTCCAGGTAACCTCGTACTTTGTCGCGTTTTCTTGCTTTTAGCCCTAAATAAATTGTAGACATAAATATATGTAAATTAAATGATAGCGAAACGATCACTTTAAGTGCAACTATGTTTCTTAACTTTATTTTCAAAAGATTCGACGCCCAGACGCCGATGCAAATTCTAAATTTTTAAAGCGATTAATTATTTTATAAATTCTATAATTATTGTTTAGAATTTATCTTATAACGTGAGAATTAGTTAAAGCGTGAATTATGAGAATGAGTGTGATAATTTATGAATAATAAATAAGAATTATTTATATGCATAAACTTTAACATAATTAACCTCAATTATTTTCAATTCTTTCAATTAACAGTTAATTATATACAAAAATTATTGTGTATAATTATTTATAATCAATTTTTAAACATTTAAATTATTCTTATTTTAGTTATAAAATAACTATTTAAGTATATAAAATTCCAACCTCTTTTCCTCCACTCTAAAACAATTTATTTTGCAGGTTAAGGTTTCTTTTATTCCTTAAAGACATCGATCAATTTGAATCGTTCCTGAGTTAGTGGACACAAGTCTAGACTCAAAAATACTGAATTAACGAATATTATCAATTAATATTCTTAAAAATTGATACTAATGTTGCATTACTGACGTAACACCTCTTAGATTTTTATTTTTTTAAATTCCTTTCCTTTGCAAAATTTAGTTTCTTAACATTTACTTTATTGAGTACTTCTTTTATTTATTTATTCTTTTATTATTAATTTTTAATAAAAATTAATAATATTACACACATGTAATAATAAATATAAAATGAATATTATTAAAAAGCAACTTATGGAGTTTCTGGATAAAATTTAGATAAATTAAATTGAAAAATACATTATAATAATCGTAAGTTTCCTTTCCGTTAGCAAATTATCTGCATTCATTTGTTTATTTTGAAAATTAAATTTTGTGGGTTAAGTATATTGGCATTTTTTATATTTTTTAATGTCAAACTTTTTAATGTGTTTTGATGTGTTTCAATGGTTACGTTTTATATTATTATGTGTTTAATTCAATTTTTAAATTTTAAACTATCATTCATTCTAAAGGTAAATACTTTTTTATAATTTAATTTAATGTATATAATTTAATGTTAACATTATTTCAATATTATTAAAAAAAAGTTATTAAAAAGTTATTATTAAAAAAAAAAGTTATTATTAAAAAAAGTTATTTGATATAATTAGCATTAAATTGAATTTTATTTTCATAAATTTCTTAATTACAGAATATTTAGTTTTTTAACTTTTTAATAATTTTTTAACTTGCAAAACTCTAAATACTGTAATTATTAAAAATATAATATTTATTTTTCATAATTTTTGACAGATATAATTATTATTAGAAATAATTACTATATTATTAAAGACTACAACATAAATTTAAATTATCAAAGTATATTTTACAAAATAGTAATTTAATACAATTTTTATTTCTTATAATTTTTATTACATAAAGATATTGTTTAATATAATGTTAATTTTATAAACTTTTAAAATTTTGTTATGTTTTAAATAATTACGTGATTCATAAAATATTCAACTAATCAATGAAAATATATTGTCAATTCTTTCAATGAAAATATATTGTCAATTCTTTCAATTAAAAATATATTACATCAAATATCTTTTCTCTATATTTAAATAATATTAACATTAAATAATAGACACATACCTGCCAAGTACATGATAATTACAAAGTTAAAAATTCAATTAATCAACCAATGTATAGAATTAAAATTTTGGGGCTATCGTACGCCTAAAATTCACATTTTTTTTCACCCCACATTTTTTTCGTGATTTCTAAAAACGAATTTAGAATTTTTTTAATTTGATGCTTTATTATATTATTTTACATCTTGTAATTAAATAATTAATGCAAGTTATAATTAGTATTAATACTACAGATTTTTTAATTGCCAAAGAAATTAGAATTAAAATTTGTTTAACTTTATCATTTTCAATTAATTTAATTTTTTGCAGTTATGTTAGATTCTAAAGATACGGAATTCTTTGTTTAAAAAGCTTAATGAATAATTATTTTTTTAATTTTTAGAATAATTAAAGGTTTCGTTATCAAAATTATTTTCAATTTTAAAATTATTTTAAAAATAAAAGTATAAAATATGTAGCAATTTTTGCGATATTCAATTTTCTTCGTACAACAAGAAAGTTCTACAGAAATCCGAATTTAAAATTCCATACCTTTTCCATTATTTCCAGGTCAAATTCTTACGAAATTCCAGTGGAATTTTAAATCTAATTTCAATAATTTTGGGCTCTTGAAAAATACTTTACTTATTGAATAGTCCGGACTCTTTGGTAAAAAATTTAAAATTATCGAAAATGATCAAAAATTCAGAAATCCGAATTTCTTAAAATTCAACATTTTTTCCTCTCTTTTATGGGATTTAGCTTCATTATTTTTGTGCTCTTGGAAAATACTTTACTTATTAAATTGTCTCGACTCTTTGGTAACAAATCTAAAATTATCTAAAATTCGAAAAAATTCAAAAATCCGATTTTCTTAAAATTCAACATTTTTTCCTTTTTTTATGGGATTTAGCTTAATTATTTTTGTGCTCTTGGAAAATACTTTACTTATTGAATAGTCCGGACTCTTTGGTAAATAATTTAAAATTATCGAAAATGATCAAAAATTGAAAAATCCGAATTTCTTAAAATTCAACATTTTTTCCTCTCTTTTATAGGATTTAGCTTTATTAATTTTGTGCTTTTGGAAAATACTTTACTTACTAAATTGTCTCGACTCTTTAGTAAAAAATCTAAAATTATCAAAAATTCGAAAAAATTCAAAAATCCGATTTTCTTAAAATTCAACATTTTTTCCTCTCTTTTATAGGATTTAGCTTAATTATTTTTGTGCTCTTGGAAAATACTTTACTTATTGAATAGTCCGGACTCTTTGGTAAAAAATCTAAAATTATCAAAAATTCGAAAAAATTCAAAAATCCGATTTTCTTAAAATTCAACATTTTTTCCTCTCTTTTATAGGATTTAGCTTTATTAATTTTGTGCTTTTGGAAAATACTTTACTTACTAAATTGTCTCGACTCTTTGGTAAAAAATCTAAAAATATCAAAAATTTGAAAAAATTCAAAAATCCGATTTTCTTAAAATTCAACATTTTTTCCTTTTTTTATGGGATTTAGCTTAATTATTTTTGTGCTCTTAGAAAATACTTTACTTATTGAATAGTCCGAACTCTTTGGTAAAAAATTTAAAATTATCAAAAATTCGAAAAAATTCAAAAATCCGAATTTCTTAAAATTCAACATTTTTTCCTCTCTTTTATAGGATTTAGCTTTATTAATTTTGTGCTTTTGGAAAATACTTTACTTACTAAATTGTCTCGACTCTTTGGTAACAAATCTAAAATTATCTAAAATTCGAAAAAATTCAAAAATCCGATTTTCTTAAAATTCAACATTTTTTCCTTTTTTTATGGGATTTAGCTTAATTATTTTTGTGCTCTTGGAAAATACTTTACTTATTGAATAGTCCGGACTCTTTGGTAAATAATTTAAAATTATCGAAAATGATCAAAAATTGAAAAATCCGAATTTCTTAAAATTCAACATTTTTTCCTCTCTTTTATAGGATTTAGCTTTATTAATTTTGTGCTTTTGGAAAATACTTTACTTACTAAATTGTCTCGACTCTTTGGTAAAAAATCTAAAATTATCAAAAATTCGAAAAAATTCAAAAATCCGATTTTCTTAAAAATCAACATTTTTTCCTCTCTTTTATGGGATTTAGCTTAATTATTTTTGTGCTCTTGGAAAATACTTAACTTATTGAATAGTCCGGACTCTTTGGTAAAAAATTTTAAATTATCGAAAATGATCAAAACTTCAAAAATCCGAATTTCTTAAAATTCAACATTTCTTTCTTCCTTTTATGGGATTTAGCTTCATTATTTTTGTGCTCTTGAAAAATACTTTACTTATTGAATAGTCCAGACTCTTTGGTAAAAAATTTAAAATTATCGAAAATGATCAAAAATTCAAAAATCCGAATTTCTTAAAATTCAACATTTTTTCCTCTCTTTTATGGGATTTAGCTTCATTATTTTTGTGCTCTTGGAAAATACTTTACTTATTAAATTGTCTCGACTCTTTGGTAACAAATCTAAAATTATCTAAAATTCGAAAAAATTCAAAAATCCGATTTTCTTAAAATTCAACATTTTTTCCTTTTTTTATGGGATTTAGCTTAATTATTTTTGTGCTCTTGGAAAATACTTTACTTATTGAATAGTCCGAACTCTTTGGTAAATAATTTAAAATTATCGAAAATGATCAAAAATTGAAAAATCCGAATTTCTTAAAATTCAACATTTTTTCCTCTCTTTTATAGGATTTAGCTTTATTAATTTTGTGCTTTTGGAAAATACTTTACTTACTAAATTGTCTCGACTCTTTGGTAAAAAATCTAAAATTATCGAAAATGATCAAAAATTCAAAAATCCGATTTTCTTAAAATTCAACATTTTTTCCTCTCTTTTATGGGATTTAACAGTTCCTTACAACATTCCCGCGCGCTTGCGTGCGTATAGTGTGGCTAGTATAGTAATAAAAATATAACCTCGATTGAATCAAAAAAGAAAAAGCGACGCGTCAATAACCTCAGAAAATTTTACATATATACAAAAGCAATAAATGTCAATAAATTTGTCGAACCCAGAAATAAAACAAAAGCTTACACCTACGACAAACTTCAGATGTGGACAGAGATCCGGAAATAAAATTAAAGATTATTATTATAAGCAATAATAATAATCTTCGTTTAAACATTTTCTTTGTTTAAAGAATTAAGAAAAACTATTAGCACAATTTTTTGTTTTAATAACTTAAGTTTATTATTTTAAATAAAACTTGAGACATTGTTATATGAGAATCATATCTACAGAAAAAGGTACAAAGTTATAATTTATATGCAGTAGTCAGTAAATGTGTTTGCAATGATAATCTCATTTTAATTAAAATTATTATAACTGTTTGTTATACAGTTTTCGTTTTTTTCCCCTCGTTGAATTTGCTTTTTTTCTTTTTGGTCAAAAATTTTCCGTTAATTATACTGTTTTGTTTCAAATTAAAATTCATTTTAATGTATTTTTTGAAATTATTCTTAAAAACTGCATTTTTTCTTCACTTAAGGAACAGATTTTTAAACACTATTGTAGTGTTAAAAAAATCATTATTTAATTTTTGAATCTTGATTGACAAAAATCTTGAAACTCAACAAGAGGAAAAAATGACAAAATACAAAATAAGTATGAAATTGCCGAAAGCTGCCAACGATACAAGGCACGACAAATTGATGCACAAAAGCAAAAAATTGTTTTTACAGATACATTTGACATAACATTTTTTTGACGATTACAGTATGTTGATAATTCTTCCGTTTTTTTTTGTAATTACAATATGTAAACGCTTTTAATGATACATATGCCTGTGGCACTAAGCCTCGTGAATAAATTTTCCTTTATTTTTTTTTTAAATTCATTAGAAATATGCAAAAAGTTTATTTCATTGTAAAAAAAAACTTGAAAAATTGCAGTTTTTATATAAATTTTAATCAGTCCATTTTAATTTCAAAAAACTCAATTGTGCGGCTTCAAATTTAAAAATTTCTTTTTTTATTTTTATATTTATGTGATGATTTTTTATATTTGGAGAAAATAATTTAATGACAATTACATTTTTTTATTATCCATGAATTAATGAAACAAATATCATAAGAATTATTTAATTAACAGTATGAACGTAAGATTGTTAATTAGTACTTCAGTTCAAGTGCTTAGGCATTATTTTTAAATTCACAATCACTTGTTGCCACGAGCTGAGTATCTGCGTGCCTTAAATCTAGTAATAATCAATCTTAATCATCTTAGTGTGTAATACAGATAAAAAATACAAATCTTCGGTTCTATATTTTTTTTAATTCAACTTTTTTTTCTATTCGTTTTACAAACAGAATTTGTTTTTTTAAAAAAAACTAAAAAAACAAATTAAACAACAATTTTTCGGACTCTTTTTACTTTTTAAAATCAAGCATGTTAAGTTGTAATTTTTTTCTTTTTTAAAAAAATTGAATTTTTTTTTCATAAAGTTACAATAACAATAGATTATCACGGCGTGTGCGATGTATGTTAATGAATTTTCATGTACGTTAGCTTTTGAATCTATGCGTACTACCTACAATATATAAATAATTTCTATGCATATTTAATAGATATTTGGCGTGACTCGTAAAATTGGTGAATGTATAAACGTGGAGAGTCTTGGAAGGGAAAATGTTTCTGCACGACTTGAATCTCCACGACACGTTATTTCTATTATGAAAATTATTCGAATTGAATCATTGTCAAGTAATATTGATAACGAAAACAAAAGGTTATTGACAAAAAAAAATTCAATGAATTTTCTATACAATTACGGAAATAATCTAATCGTCGATAGAAAATATTATAGCGAAAGTATTATTTCCGAATGAACACTATTAATACGATAATTAAAACGTTTATTATGGAGATTTGACAGAAAAATTAATTTGAAAAATTGAAGGCAAATAACAGAGAGCGACAGAATATTTATGTATTTATATTTAAATGTTTTTTGTCATGATTGGACTTTTTTGAATCATTTCACATTTAACATATTTACAATGCACAATCAAGACAAATTTTACCTTAAATAAAAAAAAGAATAGAATCTCAAGACACAAGTACATATCGCTCCGTGTTTAAAAGACACGTAAAAATATAATTATTTAGCCAATTAAGTATTTTCTTTTTAATGTATTCGGTCCCTGCCATTTGAGGCACAAAACATTTCTCGATTGTATTTAGAAAATTTTCATCACGAGATACGTCGATGGCCTTTTTAATATTTTGTTTTTTACAAGTAGAATTCAACACTTCATTATTTTTCTTTCGTTTTGAACGATGTTGAGAGATACAATATTAAAAACGGTTAACGAAGTGAATTAATCTACATTAAAGGCATTTATTAAAATCAATTGAAGTAAATTTAAAAAAATATAAATGTACTTTCTTGATTATGATCATAACGCTCGATTATCAGAGATTAATCAGTTTCTCAAGGATGTAATATGCAAGGATCGATTTTTTTTTTGTTTTGAAAAATGTACATAAAAAACAATTATAAAATAAATAAACAATTTATAATTATAAAAATTAAGTGTCATTATTATCATTCAAGGAAAGTACGAAAATTATTTTTATAATATATTTTTGGAATAACGAGTATTTGTTTTCAAAAATGAAAATTTCTGTTTATGCAATGTATCGTGAAATTAATTGCAATGAATTTGTTTAGCTGATGAATGAATTTTTCTTTTAAAAAGCGACCCTTGGAACGATTCTTAAACTAGAATGAAAAACAATAAATAAGGAAAGTTTTTGAAAGCAATTAAAATCTCGATGGGGAGAGTTTGATCTAAATTGGTGGCAAAGCCCAAAGAGTTGCCGTTTTATCTGCGGAAGTGCTTAGGAATGAGAATTCGGTTGGGTGCCAACGTCCAGAAATCACTTTGTCCTGATGTTGAGCAACAACGACACTCGGTAGTGGCATCGTTAAGTCACCTAGAAAAATTGGATTTAAAATTTATTTTGTTGATAACATTTAAAATTTGATCAGTTTAATTATTCAAATATTAATTCAAAACTAATTGAACTACCCAATTTTATAAAAACTTGACAAGATTGAAAAGAAAAATTACCCTGTAGATCCGTTAGGACAAGTTTATTATCATATCCTCCAGTGAGAAGATAATAGGCCGAAGGTGAGAAGCGTATACTTCTGATATCCGAGGAATGAGGTTTGAAGCACTGCACTGTTCTACCACCGCGAATATCAAAAAGAACGCAACTGCTGTCCTCATGGCCTGAGACTAAAAGCCGTCCAGAAGGATCCACACAAACTGCAGCCACTGCACTCCCAACCTGGAAGAATTATCATTAAAATTAATTAAAAAATTATATATACACAAAAAAGTGAAAAAAAAATTTTTCCACAAAAAAAAATTAACTATATATATTTGAAAATTCTAAAAAGAAATAAAATATTTTTTCAAGTACTTAGCTAAAAAGAAAAAATTTACAAATTAGTAAAAGTTGCAGTTTACCTTGCTGCCAGGTACAGTTGCAGGTGTAACCATATTAACACAGCCCCTCGTTCTAAGATCCCAGAATCTCACTGTTTTATCCTGTGCTCCACTGACAAACATTGCACCTCCCCAATTGTAAAGAGACAAAACGTGTCCACTGTGACCACTCAGAGCCTGGAATGGTGTTCCCGTTGCACAATCAGTCACATAAATCTTACAATCACCAGCCCCTCCACTGATAAGGAGACTAGATTTGTTTGAGGTATCTTCAAGAAAGCAGAGGTCACGAACTGTTCCATCATGCATTGTTAACTCCACTTCTTGACCTGAAATTTTATAATTTTTATATATTTGCTAGTTTTTATTATCAATAATAGGGGAGTGAGTCTAGGTATGAGACGGGTTTTGCTTTGAACCCATAAATTGTAAATAGATGAACGAAATTTTCCCTGACTTCTCCCTGATTTCCAGACAAAATTTTCTTTTTTTCCCTGGCCCTGAAGAACATTAAAAACTTCCTTTTTAAATAAATATTTAATCATTATTATTTTTTATAGGAATTAAGATTCTCAAATTCAATAACTTATGAGAATATTATAATAAAACATGAAGAAATTAAAGATGACAGAGTAATAAAATCATTATTTTATTTCATAAGAATATTATAACTATAAATTCAAATTTTCAAAGATTTTAATTTTAACCCTTTTCAAAATTCAATTATTTCTAAAAATTGACGCTATAATGTTTTTAATATTCAATTATTATTTAAAATTTAAAGTGAAATTCATCTTTTAATCAATTTTAATTAGAAAATTTCCCGAGAATTCAATTATTTAAATACAAAAATAAATAATTTATTCAGTAGGTAATTGCATATTTTTTAAAATTGAATTTTTATGAAGACGAATTTAAAAAAAATTGTAAGAATAAATGCAATTTTCTATCATTTTATTTAAAATTTTATAAAAATAATTGAAATTCTGCGATAAGTTTTGTTATTTATGAAAATAATAATTGAATTTCTGCATGAAACTGAAATTTTTTTTGAAGTTGCAAACATGCAAGATTTTACATGGGAGTAATGGGAACAATCCCCTTGCCCCTCACCACCACCGTGACAATCATTAAAGAATTGAATTCCTGTGAAGAATTTTATTTGTGAAAATAATTTAATTCCAGAGAAAAATATTATTATTTATGAAAATAATTCATTATTCTTGTGAAGAATTTTTTTCAAATTTTTCAGAATTTTTAAAAACTTTTTAAAAATAATTAAATTCCATCTAGAAATTTCTTTAAAAAATTGAAAATAATTGTAATCAGACAAAGAGTTAAAAAAAATTTTTTTTTTTAAATAATTGAATTCCTGTGAAAATGTTTATTTTTGAAAAAATTGAATTCTTGGGAAGAATTTTATTTTCTTAAATAATTAAATTACTTCAAAAATTTTATTTCTTACAAAAATATTTGAATAACTCTTCTAATATTCGATTATAATCTAAAATTTTACCTGAAATTCATTTTTTAATAAATTTGTATTAGAAAATTTTTTGAGAATTCAATTATTTACATACAAAAAATAAATAATTTATTCAGTAATTGCATATTTTTTAAAATTGAATTTTTATGAAGAATTTTATCAAAATTTTTAATAATAATTGAATTCTTTCGACGAATTTAAAAAAAAATTGTAAGAATAAATGCAATTTTCTATCATTTTATTTAAAATTTTATAAAAATAATTTAAATTCTGCGATAAGTTTTATTATTTATGAAAATAATTGAATTCTTGCAACGAATTTTATTAAAAAACTTTTTAAAAAATTGAATTCCTGTGAAGAATTTTATTTGTGAAAATAATTGAATTCCAGAGAAAAATATTATTATTTATTGAAAATAATAAATTTCTTGTGAAGAATTTTATTCAAATTTTTTTAAATAATTGAATTTTTCAGAATTTTTAAAAACTTTTTAAAAATAATTAAATTCCATCTAGAAATTTCATTAAAAAATTGAAAATAATCGAAATCTGACAAAGAATTAAAAAAAAATTTTTTTTAATAATTGAATTACTTGTGAAAATGTTTATTTTTGAAAAAAATTGAATTCTTGGGAAGAATTTTATTAAAATTTCTTAAATAATTCAATAGTTTAGAAGAATTTTATTTTTTACGAAAATAATTGAATTGTTTCGAAGAGTTTTACAAACATTTTGTGACAATAAGTGTATTTCTAGAAAAAATGTTGTATTTTACGAAAAATAATTGTATTCTATGACCGATTTTATTATAATTTTTCAAATTTATAAAGCATTTTTTTTTTATTTTTAAAAATAATTGAATTCTCAAGAAAGAAAATAATTGATTTCTAGCGAAGAATTTTATTCAAATTCTTTTAAATAATTGAATTCCCATAAAAAATTTATTTGTGAAAAAAATTGAATTCTTAAGAAGAAATGTATTGAAAACAATTGAATTGTATAGGAAAATTTTATTAAAATTGCAATTTAATGAACTCAATCTTGTAAAGAATTTTGTCAACATTTTTTTAAATAATAGAATTATTAAAAGAATTTTATTTAAATTTTTCGAAATAATTGAATTTCTCAGACTATTTTATTTAATTCTCTTTATATATTTGAATTCTGACGAGAAACTTTATTAAAAAATTCTAAATAATTGAATTGATGCGAAGAAATTTATAAAAAAAATTGGTAAGTAATTGAATTCCTGTTAAATTTTTATTAAAATTTTGTTTAAATAATAGAATTCTTTTGGAAAATTTTATTAAAATAGTAGATATCAAAAATAATTGAAATGAGGAAAATGCATTTTATTTTTGAAAATAATAGAAATTTTGTCAAGAATTTTATTAAATTTTTTGAAAATAATTGAATTTTGCAGAAGAATTTTATTATTTATGAAGCAATTTTTAGCAATTTTCAATGAGTGTCTCACAACTGGACATATTTTTTTTTTTTGACAAAAGCGATGTTTCACAATAATTTCACTCTGATGACTCGTGAAAGTGAAGTTAATGTTTTTTTACACAGAAAATGAGTAAAAGTTGTACTTCTGACATGAGCACTTTTAAAATTACTTATTGTGTCCAGACTAGTGCAATGTAAATTATTGTGTTATTTTGATCGAGTAATAGCTAAATCTGAACTTTTGAACTTGGATCCATGTGCGCGGGAATTACTACATATTTCAACAAAGACACTTTCTAAAAGTTTCACGATTTCAAAAATTCAATTATACGTTACCTTCTAGATTTGATGTATCAGCATTAAAACGCATTAATTTCACTGTTTTGTCATTACTTCCGGTTGCCATCAGATGACCATCGGGAGTCCAAGCCAAACAATAAATCGAGCCTTTATGATGTTTTGTTCTTTTAAACAGAACCGTTGGTTGGTAGGTCTGATGATCTTCACTGAAAATATTAAATTTTAATCAGAAAATATTTTCTTTATTAACAATAATAGTAATAATAAAAAAAATAATAATAATAATAATGACAGTTTACTTAAGCAAATGGACATTTCATCATTTTTGAATGATACAAAAGAAAAAAAATCCTATAGTTTAAAAATAATTTCGATTTATTAATTATAAATTTATAAATATTATAATAATGTATTTAAACATTTTAACACTGTATATAATATAATAATTAATAAATAATTTATTAAAACTAAACTTAAATCTTAAAATTGTTATTATTCCTTTCACTATAAAGAGCATCTCATATTTTTCTAAAATCTTCGCACCGGATATTCTCAGCAATTACTTTCCACAAGAATCAAGCATATTTTCCCAACCTTTCCCTTGTCTAGCTCAATAATTAAAACAAGTTCAATTTTCATATTACTTTTTCCATTTAATTTACAACTCTTACGATAACTTAAATTATAATTTCTTTAAAATTGTAGTTTAGCATTTTTCTTCAGTTATTATAAATAATATTAATTAATAAATCCGAAATGAACGTTAAACTTACTTAATTAAATATTATTAAAAAATACTCTTTTTCTAATTCGAAATAAAAAATTTTATGCATAAAATAATATTATAATTGTACCTATGTATTTTACATTCTGTTTTTAAATCATTGTTCTTTCTTTAAATAATAATCTATAAATCTTGAGCTACAAGAATTATTAATTTAACGATCAAAATATTTATTTCGCTCGTTTTTTTAATCATTTAATATTAATTCCCTCAAGATTTATAGATTATTCTTTAAAATAAGAAAAATAATTTAAAAACACTATGAAATATATAATACAATAATTATAAAATTATTTTATGTCTAATAAAATTGGGAAAGAAAAGAAAACTTTTATTTATCACGATAAATTTAAGTTAATTTTTTTTATAGTGCATTAAAGAAACATAAATTTGCAGACATGAATAAATCATCATTATTTAGTATTTTTGTACTTTCTCCATTATAGTTTTCATACTTCTGTGTTTTGTATATGTCAAGTTTGAAAACAAGAATTTAGATCCTGGAAGACATTAAAAAAAAAAGTTTTATAATGTCCCCCATTCCCCCTCCATCTAAGAGAAATCGAGACAATCAATGAATCTAATCGATTTAGTGTGGCGTAACGTAATGATTACACGGATCGAGGAATCCACAATTTCGAAGAAAATGAAAGTCTAAAATTTCCCTTTTTTCTATAATGTCCAAAAAAAAATAATTCAATTTTAAATATAGACAAATATTATCGTTTTAGTGCCTACTATTTCAATGTAGAATCTCTTAAGAAAGAAATTGGAAATAATTAAGTTGTACATTTTAGAAATAAAATTATTCTCATTCTCGTAATTTAATTTTCGAATAATATTTATGTTAATTTGAGGCTTTAATGTTTGCTAAACTAGTTTTTTTATCGTTCCATTTTGAAAGTTATTATATCCACAAATTCGAATTTCAGAATAAAGAGAACATAATATTTTGAAAGAAAAATATATTTAAAAAAACGAATTAAAACGGCAATCGAAAGATGGTCCTTATCAAACTTTAATAAATAGTAAATGAAAGCCAAGTGTCAGAAAACGGAAATGAACTCAGTTTGGTTACATGATGTTAAAACAAAACGCAATCGAATTAAGTCACATCTTTGCAAAATTAATTTCTTAGAATATATTTTACTTGCTTTCTGTGATATAGAAAAATCTTAATATATTTTTTATTCAATTTTTTGTTTTTATTATTTCCAATATTTTTTAACGGGAATATATATGATTTCTAATAATTATTGACATCATTCGCAACAATGTTTCAAATCAACAATGATTGATTTCTCTAAACAACAGCTGCCAAATACAATTTTCAATGAATTTTAAATATTATTGATTCTCCAATGAAATGACTAAAAGTATAACATTTCACGTCTTTTACTTTGTTTTTAAATTTATATTCAACTTTCTCTTTAGCAGAAATAAATTTCTCCGTTGTTGCGATTCATCCTTCAAAAATTTTAAATTCTTATCATAAGAATAACATTAAACATACCTTTCAAAAAATTGTCAATTTAAAAATAATTTCTACACACTTCGAGAAATGTTTTATGTGAACTATAAAGCAACAAAATAAGAGAACATTTTACTAAAAACTATAAATTAATAATTTTTTTCAAAACTATAAAACATGAAGATGACCGCGTAATAAAATCATTATTTTATTTTATAAAAATATTGTTACTGTAACATTTTCAAAATTATTTTCCTCATTTCAATTCAATTATTATTTTTTACAATTTTCAACTAAAATTATTCTTTATTATTTTTAATAAATTTCGAAAAAGTTCTGTGACAATTTTCAAATCCATATTTGTTTACAATATTCAATTTTACGAAATTTCAATTATTCTTAAATTCTTCAATTAAAAATTATATTAGAAAATCAAATCTTAAAATAATTTCATAAAAAATTCAATTAAACTATTTCAAAAAATTAATTACAAAATTCAATTATTTCTCAAAATTCACGCTATAATGCTTTTAATATTCAATTATTATCTAAAATTTTAACTAAAATTCATTTTTAAATCAATTTTTATTAGAAAATTCTACTTGAATTTAATTATTTATATACAACAATAAACAATTTATTGAAGAATTGAATGTTTCTTAAAATTTAATTCCCATAAAGAATTGTATCACCAAATTTTTAAATAATTGAATTCTTTCCACGAATATTAATAAAATTTTTAAGAATAATTACATTTCTCAAAGAATTCGATTAAAATTGTATTAAAAATAATTGAAATTCTGAGATGTGTTTTATTGTTTGTGAAAATAATTGAATCCCAAAGAAGAATTTTATTATTATTGAATAATATTTAATTCTTTCAAAGAATATTATTACTCTTGAAAATAATTGAATTTCTGCAATAATTTGTAACTTTTTCAAAATTAAATATTATTTCGTGTTTTTAACTAAACAACTTCTATAAATCCATTATTTGTAATACTTTTGAAAAAATTCTTTGAGAATTTTTAAATTTATTTGTTTTCAATTCAATTTTTCAACATTTCAATTATTCGTAAATTCTTTAATTAAATATATATTAGAAAATAAAGAACTTAAAATAATTTCAAACAAAATTCCATTACTTTTTAAAAAAAATTAATTCCACACAATTGTTAGTAAAAATATAAAAAATTCAGATTTTAAGAGATTTTAATTTGAAACCTTTTCAAAATTCAATTATTTCTAAAAATTAATTTTTTACAAGAATATTATTACTCTTGAAAATAATTGAATTTCTGCGAAAAATTTTGATAATTTTTATGGTAAATATTGATATTTATGAAAATAATTAAATTTTGCAAAGAATTTTATTCAAATTTCAAAACATAATTGAATTTCTGAAAAGAATTTTATTATTAATCAAGATAATTGAATGCATTCGAAGAATTGCATTAAAACTTTTGAAATAATTAAATGTAATTCGAAAAAAATTCTAATAATTTTAACAGAATTAAAATTAAAATTAAAAAAATAATAATTCTGTAGAATTATTAATTAAAAGTATGAAAAATCAGATTTTCAAAGACTTAAATCAATTTTTATTAGAAAATTCTACGAGAATTCAGTTATTTAAATACAAAAATAAATGAATTATTGAATAATTTAATTAACTAATAATTTGTATATCAACAAATTTTTAAATAATTGAATTCTTTCCACGAAATTTAATAATATTTTTGAGAATAATTTAAAATAATTGAATTGATACGAAAAATTTTAATAAGATTTTAAAAAATAATTGAAATTTTCAACGAATTTTATTTAAATTTTCAAAAATAATTGAATTCTAATAACATTCTTTTAATAACACTTTCGAGAATAATTTAAAATAATTGAATTGATACGAAAAATTTTAATAAGGATTTATAAAAATAATTGAATTTTTTAACGAATTTTATTAAAGTTTTCAAAAATAATTGAATTCTTACAAAGAACTTTATTATTTTTTTAAATAATTGAATAATTGAATTTTAGAAAAATTATTTTAAATAATTGATATTTTTCGAAAAATATTATGAAAATTGATTTTTTTCAAAAAATATTATGAAAATTGTGTTTGAAATTAATTAAATTCTTGTGAAAATTTTATTATTTATGAAAATAATTGAATTCCTAAAAAGAATTTTATTATTTACGAAAATAATTGAATTCTCTGTAAAAATTTTATTATTTATGAAAATAATTGAACTATTGCGAAAAAATTTATAAAAAAATTTGTAAATTATTGAATTCTTGCAAAGAATTTTATCAAAAAATTTGAAATTTGTTGAATTTCTTCGAAGAATTTTATTATTTTTATTTTTTTATTATTTTACTATTTTTGGGAACAATTTTATTAAAATTTTTGGTATTTTTAATTAAATCCTTTTGAAGAATTTCTTCGAATTTTTTTTTAAATAATAGAGCTTCTTTAATAATTTTAATCAAAAATTTTAAAAAGTAATTGAATTTTATATAAACAATTTCTTTCAAGTTTTTACAAATAATCGTGTTTCTTAATAATTGAAATTAAACATTTAATTCTTGAATTTTATTAAAAGTTTTAGAAAATGCTTAAATTCTTACGAAAAATTTCTTTAATTTATTGAATATAATCGAATTTGTTACTAATTGTATTAAAAATAACTGAATTCCTGAGAAGAATTTTATTATTTATGAAAAATAATTTAATTCCTACTATGAATTTTACTATTTATAACAATATAACAATAATAACAATAAGTAAATTTTTTGGAAGGATTTATTAAAATTTTTTAAAATAATTGGATTCTTTCGAAAAATGTTATTAAAAATTTTTTTTTAAAAACTGAATTCTTGAAATTTTATTAAAATTGTATTAAAAATAATTGATTTTTTGCAAAGAATTTTGAAAACTATTTATAAAAATAATTGAATACCTTTGAAGAATTTTGTTATTTCTCTAGTTAATTGAATCTTTTCAAGGAATTTTATTAATATTTTTGACAATAATTGAATTTCGGAGAAGAATTTTAATATTTATCAAGATAATTGAAATTTTTATGAGAATTTTTAAAAATTTCTGAACATAATTGAATTTCGGAGAAGAATTTTAATATTTATCAAGATAATTGAAATTTTTATGAGAATTTTTAAAAATTTCTGAACATAATTGAATTTCTGCAAAGAATTTTATTACTTTTTAAAAATAATTGAATTTTCACAATCGTTTCCCAATGGGAAGTAAACGATTGGTTCAATAATGGGCCATGCTTGGCGAACTCCGTTCCATTATTGGAACATTAATGGCAACCATCATTGGACCACCAATGGTTTAAACTTGGGATGATCACGCTACTGCCAATGATCGGTAGCCAAGCATCGGGCCAATATTAGTTGCCAAGGAATTGCCAAGGAAACAAAATCGATTTTTAAAAGCTTGATTTTTTATTGGCAGCCAACAAAAAACCAAGGTTTTGAAAATTGATTTTTTTAAATTATTAATTAAAATATATTTTTCAAAAATTTATTTAAAAAAAAAAATATTTTTAAAAAATATATATTTTTTTTTAAATTGATAGAACATATTAATTTAATTTGTCACCTCTGGTAAAACAAAGATGAAAGACTGATAAATTCCCTCACTTTATATCTTACAGTGGAGGGATAACTGTGAATGTCTTTGCGAGAGAGGAGCAGGTACTTATATAGAGCCAGTGAAACAGGTCACAAGCGAGAAGAAATCACTAGCATGCACTCTGGCGGCGCTTGTCGGAACTGTTTTCTGGCGCGCATGCATATCCTGACATTATCGACACAGCGCTTGGCAACCAACGTTGCGCCACTTCCGACAAGCGCCGCCAGAGTGCATGCTAGTGATTTCTTCTCGCTTGTGACCTTTCTCACTGGCTCTATATAAGTACCTGCTCCTCTCTCGCAAAGACATTCACAGTCATCCCTCCACTGTAAGATATAAAGTGAGGGAATTTATCAGTCTTTCATCTTTGTTTTACCAGAGGTGACAAATTAAATTAATATGTTCTATCAATTTAAAAAAAAATATATATTTTTTAAAAATATTTTTTTTTTTAAATAAATTTTTGAAAAATATATTTTAATTAATAATTTAAAAAAATCAATTTTCAAAACCTTGGTTTTTTGTTGGCTGCCAATAAAAAATCAAGCTTTTAAAAATCGATTTTGTTTCCTTGGCAATTCCTTGGCAACTAATATTGGCCCGATGCTTGGCTACCGATCATTGGCAGTAGCGTGATCATCCCAAGTTTAAACCATTGGTGGTCCAATGATGGTTGCCAATTGTTTTGCCAAGAAAAAACCATTGGGTACCAAGCATGGCCCATTATTGAACCAATCGTTAACATTGGCAACTTCCCGTTGGGTTGTAACTTCTCAAAAATTTTCCAAATTATATCGTTAAATTTAAGAACTTTTATTGCTTTTTTCAATCAAATTACCGAACATCGTTGAGTTTTGGATAGGCGCATATTCTAAGGGTTTTTGAATTTGATCCAACTGCGTAGAGTTTCCCATGGGGATGAAATTCTGCACAACGAACGGCTTGAACATCTTCCAGAGCAGTAATCGGGATAAATCTAGGTCGACCCCCATTGCTACTTCCGTTGCTTATGTCCAAATCCTGTCTTGGCTCTTGCTGAAAAAAGCAACAAACAAAATCCCATTAATTTATATTTCATAGTAATCAAAATTCGACTAAAAAAGAATTCTTTCAAATTGTTTTTAATAATAATAAAAAAATTGTTTTATAAAATAATAATGCGCTGTTTAAAATATAAAAAGAACAAAAAAACAGAAGGAAATTAAATATATATCAAGTGTATTTTTTAATGTAAGAATCCATCAATTAATTTTGATTTTGTACAACGGAACATGGGCACGCTTTTTTACTTTCAATTTCTATTAGTGTATTCACATGAACTGACCAGCCTATCAGATGTGCGATTATCATCTTGGCGAATCCATTACCAAAGCAAATGAGAAGCAAGTTGTTCTCTTGGCAGTCAGTGCAAAACGAACTTTTTAATTCTTAATAACGTGTACTTTAATAAAAAAAAAACACCTTATATTCTCATCGAGTATTAACGGTATTCCCTGTGAGCCAAGTTTTTATAAAAGTATACATTATTTTCTTCACTTAATTTAAAAAAATTAAAAATTTGAAAATTTCGACCATTGTATCTTTAAAGATATAATGACAAAATAACTTTTCTATCAGTCAAATAAGAGGACATTTTACTTAAAACTATAAATTCGGAGTGATTCGACTCGGAGTGATCGATTTCTTCATGTTTTATAATAATTAAAAATGGCCCAGTGATAAAATCATTATCAATTCAATTACTATTTTCAAGAATTTCTATAACTAAAATTCTACTTTAAATCGATTATCTATATTAATTTTTAATAATTTTCGAAAAAGTTCTTTGACAATTTTCAAATCCATTTCTTTACAATATTCAATTTTACGAAATATCAATTATTCGTAAATTCTTCAATTAAATATATATTAGAAAATAAAAACTACAAATTAAAAAAATTTAATTAAACTTTTTCAAAAAAATTTTAATGACAAAATTCAATTATTTCTAAAAATTCACGCTATATTACTTTTAATATTCAATTATTTGAAATTTTAACTAAAATTCAATTTTAAATCAATTTTTATTAGAAAATTCAACAAAAATTCAATTATTTAAATACAAAAATAAATAATTTATTGAATAGGTTAATTGAGTGATTCTTAAAATTCAATTCCAAAAAAGAATTTTATCAACAAATTTTAAAATAATTGAATTCTTGCGACCAATTTTAATATAAAAAATATTTTAAAATCTGCAATGCACTGCAATGAGTGTTATTATTTATAAAAATAGTTTAATTCCTAAAAACAATTTTAATACTTATGAAAATAATTGAATCCCTATAAAAAAACTTTATTATTAACTGAATTATTGCGAAGAAATTTATAAAAAAAAAAACTGTAAATAATTGTATTTCTTTAAAATTTCTATTATTTATGAAAATAATAAACATTTTAAAAAAGAATTTTATTATTTATAAAAAAAATTACGAAAATTCCATTATTTAAATGCAAAAATAATTAATTTATTGAATAATTGAATGTTTCTTCAAATTGAATTCTTATCAACAAATTTTTAAATAATTGAATTCTTTTCACGAATTTTAATAAAATTTTCAAGAATAGTTACATTTTTCGAGGAATTCGATTAAAATTGTATTAAAAATAATAATTAAAATTCTGCAATGAGTTTTATTATTTGTGAAAATAATTGAATTCCAAAGAAGAATTTTAATATTTTTGAACAATATTTAATTTTTTCGAAGAATCTTGAAAATAATTGAATTTCTGCAATAATTTGTAACTTTTCCAAAATTCAATTTTTTTTCGTGTTTTAAACTAAACATATTCTATAAATCCATTATTTTTAATAATTTTAAAATTCCTTTAAGAATTTTCAAATTCATTTGTTTACAATTCAATTTTACAAAAATTCAATTATTCGTAAATTCTTTAATTAAATATGTATTAGAAAATAAAAACTTCAAATAATTTTAAAAAAGTTCGCAATTAAACTTTCTCAAAAAATTAATTCTACAGAATTGTTAGTGAAAAATGTGAGAAATTGAGATTTTCAAATATTTTAGTTTGAAACGTTTTCAAAAATCAATTATTTCTAAAAATTCACGCTCTAATGCTTTTAATATTCAATTATTATCTAAAATTTAAACTCAAATCTATTCATAAATCAATTTTTATTAGAAAATTCTACTAGAATTCAATTATTTAAATTTACAAAAACAATTTATTGAATAATTGCATGACTCTTAAACGTCAATTCTCATAAAGAATTTTATTAATAAATTTTTTAAATAATTGAATTCTTTTGACGAAATTTAATAAAACTTTTAAGAATAGTTACATTTTTTGAGGATTTCGACTAAAATTGTATTAAAAATAATTAAAATAGTGCGATGAGTTTTATTATTTATGAAAATAATTAAATTTTTGTGTAGAATTTTATTAAAAAATATTTTCAAATACTTAATTTCTTTTGAGTACTTTTATTAAAATAGTTGATATTAAAAATCATTGAAATAAGGAAAATTTTTGAAAATAATTGAAATTTTCACAAGAATTTTGTTAAAAGTTTTATTAAAAATTCTATTTGTCAATTACAAACTTCAATTAAAAATGAAATTGAAAATTTTTGAATTTTTAGAAAATAAAGGAAAAAATTTTACTCAAAAAAATGTTCTGTTACATTTATTTACGAATTTCTTTAATTGCAAAATTATTCACAAACATCAATAACATTCTTTTTAAATAAATATTTTATTATTAATTATTATTAATTATTATCTAAAATTATAACTGAAATTCATTTTTAAATCAATTTTTATTAGAAAATTTAATTATTTAAATACAAAAGTAAATTATATAATTAAATGTTTCTTCTAATTTAATTCTTAGAAAGAATTTTTTTAGCAAATTTTTAAATAATTGAATTCTTTTGACGAATTTATTAAAAAGTTTTAGAATAGTTACATTTTTCAAGGAATTTGATTAAAATTCTATTAAAAATAATTGAAATTCTGCGATGAGTTTTATTATTTATGAAAATAATTGAATGATTGAGAAGAAACTTATATAAAAAAATTGTAAATAATTGCATTCCTGTGAAATTTCTATTATTTATGAAAATAATTAAATGTTTGCGTACAATTTTATTAAAATTTTTTTTAAATACTTGATTTCTTTTAGGTTATTTTAATTAAAAAACTAGATATTGAAAATCATTGAAATGAGGAAAATTTTTGAAAATAATTGAAATTTTAACAAGAATTTTATTAAAAATTTAGAAAATAATTTAATTTTGAAGAAGAATTTTTTTATTCATAAAGATAATAATTGGGATTTTGTCGAGATTTTTTTGTAAATTTCGAACACAATATTGATTTTTGTGATAAGAATTTTATTACTTTTGAAAATAATAATTGAATTTCTTCAATTATTTGTAACTTCTTCAAAATTCAATTTTTTTTTTTTTTTTTTGTGTTTTTAACTAAAATTTCCCTATAATTCCATTGTTTTTAATAATTAATTAAATATATGTTGACAAATTTAACTAATTTTACAAGATTTTGAATTATTAAAATTTTTCAAAAATCTAAGTTCATTAAAATTTCTAATTAAATTCATTCAACATTGAAATTTTATTCCCTAAAATGAATTTTATTATTTACGAAAATAATTGAATCCCTGTAAAAATTTTATTAATTATAAAAATAATTGAATGATTGCGAAGAAATTTATAAAAAAAAATTTGTAAATAATTGAATTCCCGTGAAATTTTTATTATTTTATAAAAATATAATTAAAGATTTGCGTAGAATTTCATTTTTTTTTAAAATAATTGAATTCTTATGGAAAATTTTATGAAAATAGTATAGATATTAAAAATCATTGAATTGAGGATAATTTTTGAAAATAATTGAAATTTTGCAAAGAATTTTATTAAAATTTTTTGAAAATAATTGAGGTGTTTTTGCAGCCAAGTCCAGGATTATTTGATTGTTGAAACAAAAATTAAAAAATTATTAACGTGGAACCGGTAATGTATCGATCGTTCGTCCTTGTCGTTAACTAATAAAGGTAATTATTATTCTACTTTCACTGAACCGATTCCGAAATAGCAAATTCACAACATATCTATCCACTGCATAAATTCGCTTGAAAATTCTAATAAATAAATTAGACCATATAGGGCAGTTTGCATAATAATAATAATAATTGGAGACCTGTTATAGGAAAGAAATGTTATGCTATTATAATCATAGGCCATCGTCATCGGAAGTACTTCAGACTCATTCAATGTAACAAACAAACGGACCTCAGGCGCAACAAGTTTATACAATTTTTACCGTTATTAATTATTATCATTATTATCTAACGATAAGAGGACGTATAGTATAAAATTTATATAAAAAGTCACGACTTTATATTTTCCTGGAAGTAAGCATAAATATACTTGTATCATCAATAACATTGCCCGGGGCATCTTATTATTCCATAATTTTATTTATTATTTTTGAATAAGACAGAATTATATATTTTAGAAGTTTTCTTTAACCGAAATTTTTTTCGGCGAATTTCTATTTAGTATAATTTTCATTTAAACAAATTTCTACAAAACAAAATTTTTTCGCAATAAAAATTTTATTTGCCAGAATTTCCAATACGTTTTCTTAGAATAATAAGGCACCCCTATTGCTCTACAAAAATTTAAACTTTTTTTCTGTGAATAAAGTGAGAAATGTTTCCGAACGAATTTTTCGTACTGAAAAAGAATCCAGAGTCGTCATATTTTAAAAAAAAAAGAGATTAAAACCCCTAAAAATTGCACAGCAATTTTTGAAAATTTTTACAGCCAAATTTTTATTTATAACGAAAGGCAGAATATTGGAAATTTTGAAGCAAAAAGAAAAAATAGTTAAATTTCTTCGCAATAATTCAATTATTTTTATAATTAATAAACTTTTTACAGAGATTCAATTACTTTCGTAAATAACAAAATTCTTTTTAGGAATTCAATTATCATAATCAAATTTAAT